GTTATTATTTATTATTGTTTTTATTATTTATTATTATTTATTTTTATTATTATATTATTTGTTGTTATTATTTATTATTATTATTATTGTTAGTATTGTGCTGGTATATAGGTAGGTATTGAACGTGGTTTGTATGATCAAGATAATGGGTCGGCGTGTTGTAATAATTTGTATTCTCGAATACCTACCTGTTCAGTATCTCTCTTTGACGCTCTCGTTCTCTGCTTCTCTCGATTTAGCGTAGTGTTTTTGCGGGAATTTTTCTCTGCAGTCTGAATCTCTATTGATTGGTAGGGAATCTCGCTCGCTTTCGCTGTCTGCGTTTTGGAGGCCGGCTGTCAGCAAACGTGGCAGATTGAAGCGGTGATATTGTTTAGTGAGTAGTAGTTGGTTTGGTGACAGCCGTTGCGATTGGATTTGCGGCAGTTTTGTTGCTCCCGTTGAATTTCAGGTTTTTGAAAAATTTGATTTCAGGTCAGTGTCATATGGTAGGATAGCGGGAATCTTTAGGTGTGGTTCCTTTTTCGTCTGAAATTTAGATTTTTCCCTGTTCATTTTTGTTCTCTATGTGTTCGTCATTTTTCTGATTCTCGGAATTTTCGTGATTTTTCTCATTTTCTTCGTCTTACTGATCCTCTTATTGTTGCTATTATTAGTTGCGATCTTTTTTTTCGTTTCGCGTCTGGTTCTCTTCGTTTTTTATTGAGTTGATTGATTGGGTAGGTTTGAGTTTGAGGTTTAAATTAGATATTACACGCGCCTATAAGAAGGCGGCTGATGGCAGACATATAATTAGGTTCAGTGCAGTGAACGGTGTGGATGGATGTTAGTGATAAAGTAGTGATAAGGCACTGATAAGAGAGTGATAACGAACTTTTGAATAGAATGAGAGGAACGTGATTATCAGTGTGTGATTATTTGATTATCAATTGATGATTGAGTTTCGTTTCGTTTGTTGTTGTTGGTTGGTTGGAGTGATTGATTGAAGGGATTGCGTTGATTTTGTGCTGTTATTGGTGAGGTGATTAGTGATTTTGTGCTGTTAAATGTGAGGTATCCAGTAGCTTTGTGCTGTTGATTGATAGATATTTGGTGGTTTTGTGCTGTTACATGATAGGTATTTAGTGATTTTGTGCTGTTAATTGTTGATTTTGTGC